GTTTGTGTTTAGTCAAATAATTCTTAACAATAAATCTTATATGTCAAATATTGTTCGTCATTTAAAGTCTTGAAGCTAGATTAGGACAAAACAGATTTATTTTAATTATTTTACAGGACCTTAATCTTTGAAACATCAGGTGTTTTTCTCTTCTGCTTGTGAAACTCTATGAAAAAAAAGCATACTGTATGTTCACAGTGTTATTTTTATCTGAGCACACTGAGCTGACAGATTATGTGTGAAATAAGTTTCAGGGTGTTTTTTTTTTTTTCTCATTCTCATTTTGAACCTGAAGTTAATTATTCAGTGCAAAGTTATTACATGGAAACTTGAAAGCGAGACACTGCTCTGGCAGAGAAGCAGCACCACAGATRAAGTTTGTCAGTCAAACCTGATTTATCTGCGAGGCTTCTCCTCTGTGAGACAGCAGGGTGACGGAGGTGGACGTTGTTCGTTTTCAGCCTCACAGTTTGACAGTAAAGTGATCCTCTGCCCTGATGACTTTGGATCTGCAAACTGAACATCAAAGCCACAGAGATCTCTGCTGTCTGTCCTCCATAGCAGTGAGGAGGGTGAAGAGGAAGCTGCAGGTCGGAGACAGCCCGCCTGTCCCTGGTCCCTCACAGACACTGATGTGACTCACATCAAAGAGAGAAGGAGAAGAAGAGGAGGTGTCGGAGGAAAGAGGGCTTCCTTCCCTTCATCGTCACACAGGAGATATGTTGAGCAGAACKTTTAGTAAACATCAAAGGCCTTTCCTTTCTAGTTCGAATTAAAAGCTCAGCGTTGATTGCATGTCGTGCACCACCTTTCTTCCCAGAATTTCAATTTAAGATGGCCGCCACAGCCACCCCAGCACTGCCACATCTTAGCCGCTCAGAGGATGTGTTGAGGATGTCTCTCAGCTACTACCACACTAAACTTTACCTTAATATCTGTAGGCCTTTGTGTGTTTCAGGATTAGCTCTGTTGGCCATCGTGAAGCAGGTCGACTCTAAAAGTGAAACAGTTGTAGACGTGCACGTAGTGATTACTTTCTGAGAGTTTCACTAAAATCCACTGAATGATTCATGAGTTATTTTGCTAACAGTGAAGGTAAATGCACTCAGACATGAACAGAAACATGGCTGCTCCTCCCCCCCAGCCGCAGGCACATCTGCCCCTCCGACTCGTGGAGCTGCAGGGGGGGTGTTCTTGTGTTAATCAGAGCCCCTCCTTGTCTGTGCCAGCTCACACCTGTGTGTGTGTCTCCTGATGTGTGAAAGCAGACGCTCCCTGAGGGGGGGCCGCAGGCATGAGACTCCCCCCACCGTGCTAGAAGTTTATTGACGCTCATTCACTCAGCAGGAAAACACACACAGTGTTGTTGTCTTACTGATGTGTGTGTGTGTGTGTGTGTGTGTGTGTGTGTGTGTGTGTGTG